TTGCCCCCAAAGGCTCCAGGATGTAGTGCACAGACACACATATAGGCAAAACACCCATACACATAAAATAATAAAATATTTTTAAACAAAATTAGTTCAGAAAGATGTATAAAATATGTAATGGAAAGTGAAGGACTTAAAAGATGGGGTAATAGAAAAGTATTAATCTTCAAGGTGATGTTAGTAGATCTGAAATCATACTAGTTATATACAGATGAAATATTTTTAACTTTTTAAAAGCTTTTTTTTTTTTTTTAGCATTGAATTGATAGATATTTTTTGGTGGATTTATATTAAACCAGAACCCTGTAAAGAACTTGGAAGTAATTAGGGTGTTTAATTTTATTTTTATATTATTTATTTTCCTGCCATTTCCTTCAGAACACTGGGATGAGTCCCATTCTGCCCTGGAATTGTTCCCACACTGGCAATGGGTTTGCCTAGCACACTGCACTGTCTAGTGTGCAACAGACCAAGCTCTTGGTATTTTGCTCCTCTTCTGTGCTGTATTTTCAGGGATGTTAGTGAGGGGACAAGAGGCATAGATTCTCCATGTGCATGAATTTGTGCAGATTAATTACAATTCCCTGATTTTTATGCTTTCATTACCTCATTGCTTTCTGCATTTTATGTATTTTTTTTTTCTGGTTCTATTTTCTGGGTCTTAATTCTCTTGTTTCGCTTTCTCCTTAGTTCAGTTAAATCTGATAATTGACATCGCCATGAATTTTGTTTCACTATATCTGAAAAACATGGAAATATCCCACCCTCAGTTGGTCTTTTTAATATTTCTTTAAATTTAAAAAAAAATCTCTATGAAAGTGCCTTGTTTTCTGTTTCTTTTTCCAACTCATGTTTCCTTTTTCCCATGCTGAGTTTTACCCAGTTCACATTTATAGCCTCATAGTTTAACATCCTTTATCAAACCCTCCCTTTGCCTTTGGCATGTGTTTTAACTTACATTGCTCAAAGTGAAAGTAGATCTGTAGCATGGAACTGTAATCCCTGAATCCCTGTACTAAGGATGCTAAGGCAGAAGAGACCCTGGCTGGGAATTGAAGACCAGCTTGGTCTATACAGCCAACTCCTAGTTAGACTTTCTCTTAAAAAAAAAAAAAAAAAAAAAGAAGATAAAGAAGAAAAAGAAAGAGAGAGAGAAAGGTCAGGCATGGTAGCTCATGCCTTTAATCCCAGCACACAGGAAGCAGAGGCAGATAAATCTCTGTGAGTTCAAGGCCAGCCTGGTCTACAGAGCTAGTTCCAGGACAGCCAGGACTGTTACACAGAGAAACCCTATCTTGAAAAACCACCCCACCCTACCCCTCAAAAAAGTAGTTTTCTTCTTTCTGTTTTAAAAGAACAATCTTCTTGAACATAATTCAGAAACGATATGAATTAGTATTGACTCCACTGAGTTGCCCAAGCTCCTAAAAGTAAACTTTTTTTTTTTTTTTTTTTGCATGCATGGACCCCAACTAAAGTTCAGAGGAAATACTTCATGCAAAACTTGCATAATGTAACAGTCATTGCTATGTATATCACAGAGAACTTATCTCCTGTATTTAAAAGTAGTTTTCTAGGGCTGGAGATAGAGCTCACTGGTGGTAAAGTACTTGCCTAGAATACTTTGAGGTCATTGGCTCAATCCCCAACAATAAATAAGTGAAAATAAAATTAGCCTTTTAAGGTTTTGGTTACTTAAATATGAGAAAATATACAAATACTTTCTTTTTATGCCAACTATAACAAAGGTAAGATTTGTCTCAAAATGTAAACTGAGCCATACCTATAATTCTAGCGCTTGGGAAGCTGAGGTAGGAGGATAAGTCCCAGTGACATACTTAGCAATGCCTGTCATGTTACTCTGGCATCTCTTTATATATGGCCTGGCTTAGCTTTGAATCAAGATCCTCCTACCTCAGCTTTCCAAGTACTAGGATTACAGACGTGGCTCAGTTTACATTTCTTCCTTAGAGGGCTGATATCTAGTACTTTCTGAAACACATTTTCAGTTACCTTTATTGTCTTTTTTACAGTGTTAGGGACACAACTCAGGTTCTGAGCATGCTAGGTAATTGCTCTATCATTGAGCCATATACCTAGCCTAATTTTCCACTATGTTTACAAGAAGAATAAACTGGATTTTAGACTAATGGAATAGTAGCTGATGTTTTCTTTTTCCTCATTAAGTGTTACCAAATACTCTGGCTCTGACATACATGTTTATATGATCCCCACCTATGAAAAACTAATTGGTTAACACTAAGGTTATCCCAGTCCACACACAAGGGCATTTCAGGATCATGGGTTTAATTTTAATGGGTTCCGTATGAGGGCTTACCTCTATGTAGAGTGAATATGACACATAAGCCTTCCTTTAGCATTCACTTCACTAGTTACATACACTGGTTGCATAGAGCTTGAAATAGTTCATGCTGTTGTATTTTTTACGTCTCAAAATAAATTCGTTTGTTGAATGACTTGACACATAAAATCTCTTGAAATGTTCATATTTCTCTTGCTTTCTTACTTGAAATTAAGATAATTTCAGCTTCCTGCAGTGGAAAATCCTCTTAGTAATATTTGAGACTCAAAGGAAAAATACAAGTTACATGTTTCTGGTGTTAAGTTCCTCTTTAGTATATACAGCAAACACTATCCATCATTAAGGAGGATAACATGAAGGCAAGATGTGCTGGTGCATGCATACATATAACCCTGTAGTTGGGAGGTGAGGCAACCTAAGTGTGTAAGACAACCCCATCAGAGAGAGAGAGAGAGAGAGGGAGAGGGAAGTAGCAGGAGGGAAAACATTAAAAAGAAAGTCTGTATTGAGGAAAGTGTTGAAGTTGCCATCAACTACATTAGTCCTAAATCCTTTCAAAAATAAATGATTGTCTCCAGAAAGTTGTGTCATATTGTTCTAGTGGAAAATGGCATTAGCATGTTGTGCCCATTCTAACTTTACCCTACCTCAGAGCATCTTCAACAACCATGCGTGTTTTTATCTTCTAGTTAATGTTAAGGTTCCTTTTTTAAATTCTTCATTGAATGCTGGGGATTCTAAAGTTTTCAGATGAGGGGTGGAGATAGTGGCACACAACTGTAACCCCATCCCTCTGGAGGCTAACACGGGCTGATCGCACAGACTACACAGTGAGTTCCAGGCCTTTTTCAAGGAGAAAGATGTTCACTTTCCACGTATTAACAGATGTAGTATGAATGGTAGAAACTGCAGGATACTATTGATATGGTAATGCTTTTTCTTTAACAATAATAATAACTAAACTAGGAAAAGCTGTATTTTTTAATCCCAAACTAAAAGATTTTCATTGTTATATATGTAATAGAAATCCCTTAGTTACCTGAGTCTCTCCCTTGCCCCTGCCAGTACACCCAGTGATTTTTTTTTTTTTTTCATGTTATCAAACCTAGACATCAGGGAAGGTTGGCACCAGTAAAAAGCTAAACAAAATTTTATCATTCTTTAATAACCTTTTCTTTCACCCCTTCCCTGTCAGTCCCAGTGGTTTTTAATATTCTTTTAACCTCAGAAACAGCCACTCTTGGTTATGTAAAAATCGGGGTTTGGAAAGTAGGATATTGTCATTACCACTTTCTGTATTTACTTTCAGTTTTAGGTTAAACATTGTTTGGGGTTCTTTTTAGTACCTAGTAAAATAGTTAGTGCAAATTTGTAGTGGCAATTTTTAAAAGGAAGTTGTTCCATTCATGATAATCCCTTTTTATAATAATTTAATATTAAATGATCAAGCATGTTGTTATCATAGTGTACATCTCCTTTGACTTTTTACTGTACATTTGATAATACCGTACAAGTTTTGGTATGGGGGCTGAGGAGATGGCCCAACTGTTAAGTGCACTTGCTCGTCTTCAGGAGCTCTGAGGCATCTGGCCTCCATGGACAACTGCCTTTATGCGCACAGATACACACACACCTACACATAACTAAAAATAATAAAAGTGAATATTTCACTAAAAGCTAGTGGTGACATTAATTGAATAAAACCAAAAATTACTTAAGACTGGGCTGGCAGGATGGCTCAGTGAGTACACGCACTTGCTGCTAAACATGCAGACCTGAATTCATTTCCCAGGACCCAGATGGCAGAGAGGGAACAGACCCCTGCCAGTTGTTCCTGCATGCACACACAAAATAAATAAATGTAAAAATGACTTGAATTTGAATTTAAGAATTATACAGTTTGGGCTAAATTATAATGTATAAGCATATAATATTAGGACTTCTTCAGATTTCAGAATTTGTTGGCTTATGGCTTCAGAAAGCACAAAGAGCTTACCAGATATGAGATTTTTGTGTATTTTTAACTCTGAGCCACAGAATACATGGCTACAATATGTTCTATGGATATCAGTTTTCAGTGTCAGAATATGTGTAATTCCAGTATAAGCCACAAGGTGGGAGTGAAAGGCAAGGACTTGTATCCATGCAGCCCAAATACATAATTCATTATCTTTATAAACCTTTTAGATGCTTATTAAACAAGCAGGAGCTGTAGTTTGGTTACTTCTCACGTTACGGTTGCATTTCTTATTTTTTAAAAAAAATCTATAACAAAAGACGAAAGCATTGATTTACATATATAGGCCATTATTAGTATCAAAGGACAAAAGTGTCAGAAATATTTTGCTCCTAAGTTTCTAGGTATAGAGGTGCTTAGTGATCAGAGTAATAATTTTGATTAGCTCGATATGAAAAAGTCCTTTAATTGCCATTAGTATAGACAGTAATCAAAGAAATTACTGAAAATACTTTATTCTTTTATTTTCATTTTTCTTGATCTTGGTTAGAGAAAAAAAGACCTATTATATTTTTATGTGTATGAAACCGCTTGTACTGTGTATGAGAGAGCACACAAACATTGATGTGATTGGTTTTCATTAGGTGAATGTTGTACTGTGTTTTCTCATTTGAATTTGGAAACATGTAAAGTGTGGTCATTTCTTTTCATCTTCAGGTGAGAAGACAAGAAGTATCTTCTGGAAAAGAACCCTCAAAAGACCTCAGCCTCCCTGTACATCACGAAAGGTGGTTCTAGATCCCTCTCTGCCAACTCAAGACTTAAGAATATTAAAATATGCAGAATTTTGTATATTTTACATTTTTTAACAGTTGTAAAAGAATAGTTGACTGTTAAGCACTGAAGTGGACCCACATATGAAAATGGCCTAACTACATCACAGTTACAAACAAAACTAGACCTAAGAAACCAAATTCTCAAGAGTCCCCTGTTTCAACAAGCCCTGTAGTGTGGCCATATTGTTTGACATGGATGAATCCTGGTATGAACCGGAGTGAAGAGTAATTAATACTCTATTTATGATGTTTACAGAGAACATCAGTGTGACATATGAATAAGTAGATACACTAACACGCAGTGCATTTATGAACTAGACCTTTCATTTGCTTTGTCCTTAGCTTTTCAAATATTAGAATTGTCTTTAGGACATTTTCTATAAATTTAAATTTTATTTTTAACATTTAACTTTTCTATATTTCTGTGATTCATAAAAACTATGCTGTATATATATTTAATTACAATAAAAATCATTTGAAGTTATAACCTTACATTTTAAAATACTGATTTGTTTTTAGGGATAATATAGAGAAGACTTTCTGGGACCTTAAGGAAGAATTTCATAGGATATGCTTACTAGCAAAGGCACAGAAAGACCACTTAAGCAAACTTAATATACCAGATATTGCAACTGGTAAGATTTAATTTATCTTGTACTAATTATGCTGGTTGAAATTAATTTAATTTTTGATGTAAAAATACTTCCAAATGCTTATGAAAAGTGAATAATCTGCATCTTGCCCCTTGTGGTTGAACAAATATATGCTATTAAATTCTATGCTATAATTACAGAATTCTTGCTTTTTCACTGTTTTCATTGTATATGGTGCTATATAGATTTAATTGAATAACCTAATTATCAATCATGTTAGTAAGAAATAACATCTTGAAAATATAGGATACATCTCTTTTTTTTTTTTATTTGGGGGTCATATTAAACATTAACTCACATGTCATTAAGTAACCTTAAAGCAACACAACTAAATATGAGCTAAAATTATAACATTACATTTGTTTATGACTAAATTCTGCCTGAAATGTCATTAAACACTAGTTATAGTTTCTGATAAGCTAGTTCAAGAATAAAAATGTGGAGTGCACATTTACTTAGAACCTGTTCTCTTGGCAGCACAAAGTAAAAATCGAGTATAAAATATCACTCAGGAACATCTGTTTTGCACACATGTTGGGTTTTTGTTTTTATTGAGGTAGGGTCTCAGCCTGCTGTCTGGCTGGCATGGAACTTGCTATGTCAACTGGGCTGGCCTCAAACTTGCAGCAATCCACCTGACAGTGAGTTAGAATTGTAGGCCTGAGCCATATGCCTCCGTGCGTGTGTGTGTGTGTGTGTGTGTGTGTGTGTGTGTGTGTGCGTCTGTGTGTGTGTGTGCGTCTGTGTGTGTGTGTGTGTGTGTGTTGGCTCTTGGGGTATTTTTAACTCACATTTTGGTAGTTGATTCAGTAGTTAAATGTTAATAACACAATGACAGAAATTAAATCTAGCATCCAGACACTTCAGTAAACAAAAGGATAGTCAAAACGATCATTTAGAATGATAGATTCTCTTTTTATCCATGATTTGGGATATTCTACAGGCAGTTCCCTAGCAGTATGATTAACAGTTTTCACTCTGGGAGATGTTGCAATAATGATGACTAGCATGTCCTTAATTGAAGATTCCTATTTTTCTGTGGCCTTCACATTGTAGCATTAAAAATCATTGATAGTGTAAGTTCTCTTTTTGCCACTACCAGCATTTATTTCCAATAAACGGTGAGGGGAGAGGAAAACAACCTTTGTTTATAGATATAATTTGTATGTCCCTGCTTGCTTTTTTCCAATCTTCTCAAAAAGAACTCTTAATTTTTCCATCTTAATCTCTGTAATGCCCATGAGCAATTGCTCCTCCACAGAGACTAAAGATAGTAGAAATAAGCAGTTTCACTTAAAATAGGCTAGCTGTGTGTGTCTAGAATTCAGAAGCATGCTCTTGGAACATCAGCATCTTATCACGACATTGTAATAGTGGTGCACTCTTTGTTATGCAGAGAACATAACCCATTATCAATTATTTAATACTTTGACCATTTTTAAATTGCATAAGTCTAACTCTTACTATGTATCTGTCAACCTGAACACTGAGTGTTTAACTTCAATTTCTTCCTCACAGAAGCTGGTTAACATTATTCTTATGCTTTATGTTAACTGTGTCACAAATAAGTAAAACATTATTCTTGCAATATTTTAGATCTGTATTAAATTGAATAAAGCTTTGCTTGGTCCAAACAGAACACAAGATGTTAAATATTATGCCCTGACAGTATAGGTCTATGCTATCTACTGCTGTATATTAGGGGAAAGAATAAAGACACAGTTTAGAAACATATACCTGTGCAGGGTTTCCAGATACATGTGTCGTTACCATGTCTCTTCTGGTCGTTCACTCGGGGCAGGAACTCTGGGAAAGGATAAAGGTAGAACTGTATGTTTAAGCTAGTATCTCCTAGGGGAGAGTTACTAGTCTAAACTCCAGGTCCTATTTCATTGGCTATCAGACAAGAAGAATTTAGAATTAGGCTATAGACAATCATTAGCTCTTTTGTCAGTATTCATGATAATTTGCCAAAGGAGTCTAAACAGACTGTATATAAATTCGGAAATCTAATTTTTTTTTTTCATTTTACTCAATTTCCTTGCAAAAAATAAGTGTTATTGAAACAAAGTATAAAAGCTACGTGCTCACTGGCTTGTGTCTCTCAGTGTGGTATTGGGGTAACAAGTGTTTCATGGACGTTGTTTGATTTTATCTAAGCTCAGACTTCTAGTAGGAATCTTTGATTATTACTCTTACCACAGGTACAGATTAACTCAAATTACTTTAATGTGGTTAAGCTCATATACCAGCTAGCTATTCCAAAAAAAGATATCAGCCTACTTCAAACAGCTGACTGATATTTCCCTGTTTGCTTTGAAGGGGGATTAGGTCAGCTGTTAAGAAAGTCACTCCAAGCACAGCTCTGCCAGCTTGATTCTCTCCGTGTAGAAGGCAGCGTGTTCAGTTTAGCATAACGGCTCTGACAACACTCTGGAGTTGACTACCTGGGCTTAAGTGCCAGATTTAGCATCAGTAGCTGCACAGCCTTGGAAGTAGCCATGGAGTTAACCTCTCCATATCCATTCCTTCACATGTAAATTAGAGATAATAATAGTGCCTGAGTTGGCGTTACTTTGAGTATTAAGTGAATTAATGTACATACCACAGTTAGTGCATGGCACATGGAAGTGCTATCAGTGTTAATAGCCGTTGCCATTAGCAGCAGCTGCAGATTCTAAAACATTTACCTTGTTCTCCTGAGAATGAGTTGAGAAGATATTCCTTCTCAGGTATTGCAGAGCTTTACTCCCGTTTCCTAGCATTCTCTGCCACCCTCAACTGTACTTCCAAGAAAAGTGACTACTTGAGGGTGAATGGACTTTGTCAACCTCAGAGGTCAAAGAAATCTAGCAAAACAATTGAGTTTGGTCTCAGTCCCTTTACTATTTCTAGTCACAGCCAGAAAATCTAGTAAGTGTGGGTTATAATTCTAGGTCCTGTGAGGAAAAGAATACAATATCATAAGTGTGCCAGGCAGTAGGTGGGATATCTGAGTAAAATGGGGAGCAGAACATGGTTTCGGGTGTCATAGAAACCTGCTTTAATGGGGGAAGGGAAGTCTATTCACATATATAAGGCTGTTCAGTCCTCAGAGTACGTACGCATCATGGGAGAGCCATCCAGACAATCAATGTCTAGGTCAAGGTGAGAAGGACAAGTAAGAGTTAGGCAAAGAGCTACACATGGTAATGCCTATAACCACAGCACTAGCAAGGCCAGGGCTGGAGTACTGAGAGCTTTGGGGTAAACCTGGGTGCCATAATGAGGCAGTGTGAGGGAAAGAAGGGGAGAGAGATGTAGATGTGTATGTAATGCTACAGAGTGAACTCAAGAAGGCGGAGGCACTGCACTACATACACGCCATATCCAAACAATGTGCTGTGGCGACAGAGAAGTGCCATATGACCCTAAAGATGAAAAGAATATGAAGAAGTTGGCATTTGTTGAATGCTGCTAACATAAACAGACTATGGAAAGTGCTATGTGTACCCTGTGCTCTTAGGCCTGCTTCATGGGTAAAGTCTTCATTTGTGAATGTATGACTTCACTAATGACTATTAACCCATTGAATAAAATGCATTGCTGCACGCATAGTACTGCACATTTGTAATTCCAACCCTTGGGTGGTGAAGTAGGAGGGTCAGAAGTCCAGTACTAACCTCATCTACATTGGAAATTCCAGGCCACCCTGAGCTCATGAGACCCCCATCTCAAAGACAAAAACAAACAACCAGACACACTGTAAATCACATTGGCTTCTTGAAGTGGCATTGTGGAACCTAACTTTGTTTTATCCAGTATCTCAGGGTCATAAATATGGACTGTGCTTCGATAATTGTTGGGTGTTTGTTTGTTTTGGTACTGTGAAATATAGCCTTTGTTATTAGTTTGTTTTCTGTTTTTCTTTTTTTTAAGGATTTAATTTTAACCATGGGTATGTGGGTATGGACATGGGTACCCCTGTGAGTACCTGTGAAGGCCAGACATATAGGATCCACTGGAACTGGAGTTATAGATGGTTGTGAACCACCAGTGTGAGTTCTGGGAACTGAACTCCCATCTCCTGGAAGGGCATTGTGTACTCTTAGCACCAAGCCATCCTTTCAGCTCAATACTACAGTGTTTTCTGAATTCATAAGCCTGCCTTTTTGTTTTACTGGTCTCCTCCCATACTGCCAGCATTTGCTGACTTCTTGTCTTTCCTTAGCAGCTCATATCTCCATTTAATTTGCTGTGATCCGTGTCACTCTGACTCCTCAGAAGTTCTTGTCAGCACCTGACGATAGCCTAGAGATCTTGTTGAAGAAAAGCTTCTAGATGAATGGGTTAAAGCAGCTCTGGTGCCTTCCTCACTCACATCTGCTTGTTAGTTAAAGAGCCTTTCTAAATATAAGAAAATGACATATACACATAGCTTTTCTTGTCTTCTTTTTTTTTTTTTTTTTTTTTTTTTTGAGACAGGGTCTTATCATATATCCTTGAACTTGTTATGTAGATCAGGCTGGCCTGAAATTCAACAGAAATCCACCTGCTTCTGCCTTCTAAGTGCTGGGACTAAAGGTGTGCAATACCATGCCCAGCCATATTCACATGTAATTCCTTAAAGCGCATCCCAAGATGCCAACCTCTTTTTGCCTCCACTCTTCTTCTTTCCTGATTCTGACACCATTAAGTGTAGACAGTGACTAAGCTGATTAGACTTATACCTAGTAACACATTGATATTATGGGAAAGTATTAACCTATTCATGTAGTAAATAAATGTTCTAATTATTCATATATGTATTTAAACTTACAATTGTGGCTTGTTACAAAATATATAAGCTACAAGCATTTTTGTAAATGTAAAGCAGTGTAACTAAGAACAAGATGCAAAGCATATAGTGGAAGACCTAGGAGAAAACAAAGCAATTAAGTTGCAGCCTTTATGCTGTTTGGTTCACCTGCAGGGGACTGCTATTATCCTTGTAGAAGATGGGAGCAAACATAAAAATACCAGTTGTCTTCAGTTGGTATATAAAACAATAGTCCTCTGCCTAAAGCTGTTTCAGCTTTTTTTTTTTTTTTTCAATGATTTGAGCGTGACTGTTTCCCTTCTGTATCCTTTTTCCTGCAGACACACAGTGCTCTGTGCCTGTACAGTGTACTGATAAAACAGAAAAACAAGAAGCGCTGTTTAAGCCCCAGGCTAAAGATGCTACAAACAGAGGTACGTCATGTATCGTGTCTGTTGTTACACCAAGAGGACTGGGCCGAGATGAGGAAGACACCTCTTTGGAATCACTTTCTAAGTTCAATGTCAAGTTTCCACCTATGGACAATGACTCTACTTTCTTACATAGCACTCCAGAGACACCGAACATCCATACTCCTGCCACATCTGAGGCAGTGTGCCAGGGCAAATTTAATATGGAAGTCAGAGACAACCCAGGAAACTTTGGTAAAACAGAAGAAACTTTATTTGAAATTCGGGGAATTGACCCCATAACTTCAACTATACAAAACCTTAAAATAACTGACAAAACAAAACCCTCAAATCTTAGAGCTCCGTGTTTGCCAGCTGGAGACCATAATATGTTCTATGTAAATACATTCCCACTTCAGGACCCGCCTGACGCACCTCTTCCCTCACTGGATTCCCCAGGAAAAGCTGTCCGAGGACCACAGCAGGTAACTGTTTTGCATTAACAAATATTTTATTATGTGTGAACACACATTTTGTCATACATGCACAGATACGAATCTCTTTTAAGTTTCCAGACATCCACTTTAAATTAATGACTATCCATAGTTGAGGCTTTCAGTAAAAGATGTAAGCTCTGTAATAAAGGATATGAATTTTGAATATGAATATGATAAATATCTGTCATGATTTATGGCATGGCTTTACATGCTTAGTCCTTCAGTCACAGCTTGTCTATATCAGCATTCTAGTGGATGGATTATTAAATTTGATAATGTGAAACAAATATTAAAAACTTGTACATGTACACATAACAGTGTAATTTCCCATAAGTAGATAATTGCACCAAATATTAAAAATAAACTGTCATTCAGCCTACTTGTTACATTCTCAGTTAGGGTAGTACACACTAATGTAAGGTTTAGTGTGCCTGACACTAAACAGACATACATTTTTTCCAAATAGTGAGTTACTTGAAATGCTTCATATGAATGAGTTAATCAAATGTCTATTTACTATTTGTGAAGCATGAAGGCTTTATAGTCCATGAGTCTAATCCTAACACCCTATCTTTCAGGTTTTTTTCACAGAAAGATTTTTTGTTAGGGAGAAAAATAAATTTTGTTTAATTCCTGAAGATAAATGAAAGTAAACAAAAGCTTGTGGGGTGGTGGGGTCCTCATTAGAGCTTATGAATACTTGATTTTCTTTCATATAGAAAAATTCCTTTGGCTTAAAGTATTCTTAGCAGCTGTAAGCCTTTAAACAGTGTGTAAGGGAGGAACAGTCAGACTGGAGTATGTTTCAATAGTAGGTAAAACTAGGGGTTCTGACAAGTCTTAATTATTAACTCTCTGTGTTCTACCCTGTACCTTATTTCACATCATGATACCAGCTACAGTTGCTAGCAAATGAAACAATTAAACAGTTTCATTTATTGCTAGTAGAGTTCCTGTGGAGCTGTGAACTGCATCAGTTCTAATTCTTGCTACTCTCCCTCCATTGTGTCTCTTGCTGGTCCTTTTCCTAGTCAGTCTGTGCACTCATGTTTCAGTAGATGGCACCCTGCATTGTACGTTTACTTGCTGTAGTGCAGCAAGGGAAACAGCTGGTATGTGATTACAACTTGATGGAAAAGTATTCAGCTTTAAAAATGCAAGGGAATTGGTGTTGAGCTGTCACAAGACATGGGGCATAAGGTTGTGGCGGAAAAAGCAAAGAAATTGGTTTGGTTTAAAGGCCACATTACAATTGTAGTTTGCAAAAATATTTATTTAAATGAGTCTTTTTGAACATTACCCTTTTGTATTAACGAAGCCCATGGGTACAATTCTTGAGTGATCCCACAGATAGTAAGAAAGGAAGTTTTGGTTGCATACTTTGTTTTTAACTTTATATTAATCATCACTACCAATTACATATCTTTCGCTTCAGCTTTCATAGCAAAGACTAAAATCTATATCAGCCTATTTTGTTCAGTGTGGATTTCCTTTTTTTTTTTTTTTTTTTTTTTTTTTACTTTTGCTGAGTCAGTAATCAAGGTTCTAATTAAATTCCAAGAACAGATCAAATCTGAACCAAAAGCTACTGTCAGATTTGAAAAGTAAATTGTCACTGAAAGACTGACTTACCAAATTTAGGGACTGGTTCACTTTTAAGCTAATTTCTTGCTGGTTTATAAATTTTAATAAAAATACCTTTAAAGTAATCATTTCATTACTAGCCACGACAGCTTTGCATTAGAGTGTTTTTTACTTTTTCATTAAACTACAGCCAGTAACATTTGAATCTAATTAACTCTTAACTAATTTCCATTTATAATTATTACTGCTCTTCTCTCATCAGGGAAATTTTTCAACAAAAAAGTACTTTGCCCCAAATTTTATGACATTTAGTTTAAATATTTTTAGTTTTGTGGCAACAATCATTTCCCATGAAAAATTAAGCCCATATTCTAAGGTGTCTGTACTAACGCTTTGATGTGTCTTGCTACCTAAACAGAATCTATATATTAAAACTGCTGAACACAGCTGTCCTGTGGTGCTCACTATTAGACAAAGATGCCTTGAAACCAGATACTTCAATTAATACTGTTTATGTAAATACTTAGCTGAGTAGAATGAAGTTAAAGGCATAAACACTGTCAGGTGCCGAACTAAGCTGTGTTTCATTAAAAACATTAGCAATTGGAGCACAAAGGAATCTCTTTAAGTGGTTTTATGGGGTGATTCTCTTAATTTAGCTATGTCAGGGTAATTTACCTGTTTCAAACAAAGTAAGAATAAGTTTTTATTAATCCAGCTTATACAGTTTAGAAAAGTTAGGTATTTTTGCCAACATCATTTTTAAATAGCTACTCTTAAACTAATTCCTATGTAGTAGTATTCTAGACTTCTTCAAAGGGTATTTACAAGTTTTTATTTGCCAATAAGTACACTGGAGCTGGTCCTGTTTAATTACAACTTTCCATAGTTCTTTAATTGGACAACTATTGATGGGTATTTATTTTATTCATCTGTAAGAAATAGTGAGGCCAAACTATAAAACAGGCAAAATAAGCAATCAAGAGAATGTGTCTCAGGTTAAATATTGTAGAGTGATTTAATATTTGAATTCACTTTCAACTGACAAATAGAATTTGTATAGTAGTTTAAAAGAAACTTTTCTGAAAAAAAAAATCAGAATGCTGATTATATGTGATTTGTTTATTTGTATTTTGGATCACCTTGTACATGTTTAAGGTTCCTGTTGTGAAGTAGAAAATACAGAACTTCATAAAGTCTAAAGTACTGGCCATTGTTTCAAAACTGTTGTCTTTGAGATAACTGAGTATGACTGCTGGTGTTAAACTGCAGTAATTTTAAACACGTAAAGATAAAATTCAGGAGTATGTAGTTCATTTGTGCCCATTCTGAAAAAGAAGTCTGCTTTAACATTAGATAATTTCAGATATAAGCTCATACAAAAGGCATTCAAATATTTGGATTTGAAATTCGATGCAAGTTGATTTTAAATACAAGTAACAAAAGATGTTTTTGTTTGTTTCCTGCAGCCCATTTGGAAGCCCTTTCTTAACCAAGACAGTGACTTAGTGGTACTAACTGGTGCAGACTCGGAATGCCTTAAAGCTCAAGTGTGCGAATTCTGTCAAAAGCTTTTCCCACCGTCCATTACATCCAGGGAGGATTTCCTCCGGCATCTTAATTCACACTTTAATGGGGAGACTTGAGTCACATCTGAAAACAGATATATCATGTTCTCTGGGATGATTCTGGATTTGTAATGCTAGAGAATGCTTGCTCGTTTATATAAGAAATTCAGGGTCACAGCTATTTGAATTTTTTTCTAAACCTGTTACTTTAGCTTTTGAGATCATTTTGTGTAAAATTAATTCATTTTATTCATGTTTATACTATTGTTACAATAATTCAAAATTATGCATGTGACTTAGTTACATAATCATAATTTATGTCTCAAATACCTATTATTGTTTGACTCATGAGATCTATTAAATTTGGTAGTGCCAAATGTTTATAGGGTATTGTGTATAGGATTTCACTTGAATTTTTAAATTATTTATGCTATAGATAATGTTCTTTTAAAATACATAATATAATTTACAGAGAATAGCAGAAAATATAATCACCTAAGTAAATGCCAAATCAGACATTAGTTGCCCAATGAAAATTATTTAAACATTGTAGATCTTTTTTAAAATAATACACATGGTTTTAATTTTTACTGTGTGTATAGATGCATGATTAAATGGGTTAAATATTAAAATTTATGTTGTGATCATTAAAAGTGTTCTCTTTTTCTGAGGTAGATAAGTGACATTTGGGGAATGTTCATAAAATTCATGTCTCAGTATGTATTACACATTAATAAATAGGTCGCTTTAAATTTTAAAATGATCTTTCAAACTAGGCATTCCAAAATTTTTTCATTTTATTGAGAACAAATGCAAAAGCCTGAAAGGGGAATCCATATTTATTAATTTAGATTAGAAATGTTCAAATTCGTGTTGAGAAATTTGCTATTCATTGTTAGCAGCCTGATTGATGGCCACTGGTCTCCAGACATCTGAGAGAGGATACCAAGTGTGCATCGACGCAAAACTGTTCAAAATGAGACTTCCCTTTCATTCTTCATGATTCTTGCCATTTGGGCTTCTCCTACCACCCACCAACCCCAGTTTTTAGAAATGGGTGAGACACGGCTTGCATTTTATGAATAAGCATCGACTTGTAGCTTTCAACAGAAATGTAACTGTCCTTGAGCAATGTGTCATAGTGGAGGCTTGGCGAGGGGGAATTTGAGCAGGCCTCTGTACCCAGTAGTACCCAGTGGAAGAATGAGAGTGGCAGGGACCTCGACTTCTCAAGGTGCCAAGCACATCACATTGACATCTTCCTCACCAAGGTGACACAGCGGTTATTAGGTATTCACTGCGAAGGGTTCTGAGGCATGTACATCTTTTCTGTTGCCACCAGGCTGCATGGAAATGCCTAGACAATTATCCAAAGACTCCTTTCTTCCCTCTTCACACACACACACACACACACACACACACACACACACACACACACACACATCAGAACTTCCCAGTATGTACCAGTCAGGATATACCCCACTGCCTCTCAGAAAGGATTTTTTTCCCTCTGCTCTCACACAGTTGACATCTCCCTGGCTTGCTGACAACCAAAAGAACCTCTGTAAGTGGTTCTTAGCGCCCAGAAAGTGATTCAGAGTGGTCCACTATCCTCTTCTCTGGCTATCCAACAGTAACTAAGCTCCAAGTTATTAGGGCGGAGACCCTATTTGGCCGCCAGAGAGGGGGCTTCTGCCCTGCTCTGTAGAGGTTGGCAGGAGCCTCAGCTCGAAAGGTAGAATAGCCAAGTCTGTCCCTCTTTTTTATCACTGAGCTGGTGCCCAGGCTGCCTTTAGGCTTCTGCTAAGTCTGGTCGGGTAAGAACAGCTCCCAGGTAAGAAAGCTCAAAACGCTGAGTCTGAAGGAAAAAAAAAGAAAAGAAAGAAAGAAAAAAGAAAACTACCCCTGCCGAGGCGAGGCAGTTGTGAGCGGGAAGCCTGAGGAGTGGGAGGTGAATGTCCTCGGGATGCCCCCCCCCCCACCCGGTGCAGCTTTCCCCGGAGGCTGAGGCTGCTGCCAGCGGGGACATCTGCTTTCTTACACTCCAGCCTGGTTCACCCCGCCCCCTCAGCCCCGGGTTGCGTGGTTATTTTACCAACACCGGGGGAGGGAGAGCTTGAGGAGGTAAAAAGGGATGGATGGAAGCTTAAAAGATTTTCTTCCCACTCCCCCCCCCACCTCAGTCCCCTCCTTTCTTCTTCACATCTTTTAACCTTCAAGGTAAAGACTTTATAAATATGAAACAATAAGGGAGTCTGCTGGCTGGCTCGCAGGCCGGCCTTGGGCTGGCAGCACCGGCGGGGCTGCGGGGTGCCCGCTTCGCTCTTCCCTCCGTCCTCCGGAATCGGACCGCGCGGTTCGGCGGGTTCGGCTGGGCCCTGGGGCCGGTGGTGAGCGCTCATCCCGTGGCGCCTTCGCTCCCGGGCTGCTGCCTCGACAGCTGCTTGTAGCTACAGTAATTAGACTGTCAGTGCTTGTTAGAGGAGAGAGGGGAAAACACGCTTCTGACAGCAGATTCCGAGACTCCCCAGTTTGTTAATTTCTAAGAGATCTTTAAAGCATTAATTGAGGTCTCCCCAACTCTTCCCTCCCGTCCCTCTTCCCAACTCCTCCCGTCCCAAAAATATCTTTAGGAGAAAATTCTCTCCGCGTGGAAGCAGTGTTTCCCGCAAAACTGCCAGCCCGCCCCCTGCTCACGCACACCACACACACACACATACACACACACACACACACACACACCCTAGTTTACATATGCATATATAGGCACACACGTATATGCAAGGTTAACTCGGCGAAGCATTCGTCCAAATAGGCACCGAGATTGCATTTAAAATGATAATAATAAATAAATAAATCAACTAGGAAGGAAGGGGGGAGGGAAGCAGAAGTCGGGAAGAAAAGAGAAAAGCAGCAGGCTGATTACGAGGTGTCAAAACTGCCAGGAGCAAGAAGGTGATAGCAATCAGGGGTGAGAAGAGTGCGGCATTCGTGCGGGGCAACTAATTATCCGTCTCATTTGAGAAGAGCAGCATTTGAGGCAGCAGCGTTCGCCTGCTGAACGGTGACAGATTGGCGCGGAGGAGAGGGGAGGTGTTAAAACAATGGAGCCCGGCGCGCGAGCGCTGCTGCATGCTAATCAGCCCTCCCTCCGCCTGCCTGCCGCGCTCCCTCCTTCCTCCCGCTCCCTCCTCCGCGCGACGTCCTCCCGCCTGCGGCGCTCCCTCCTTTCCAGCGGGCCCGCCGCCGCCCGCTTCCCGCTCCCTGGCTTTCCCGCGCGTCCTCCCCGCCGCTGGCGAGCCTCACCCGGGTTGGCCGGCCGAGCGCAGCCCGCATGGGGCGCCGGGGACCCAAGTTCGCGGCGCACGCCTGCCGGGCCGGCCTGCCGGGGAACGCTCGCGCGGGACAGCGAGGAGGCCGGAGGGAGGTCCGAGACCCAGGGACACCACCGGGTGCAAGAAAGAGCCGGAAAAGCAAAGCCAGACCCAGGGCAGCCGCACCCCTCCCCCGGTTCCCTGGCCGGAGCTGAACATTCACCCTATAGGTTTCCAGCCCTGGTGCGAGCTGCTGCGTCCCGCTCGCCTGAGCTGTTGGAGAGGTCAAGCCCCCCAAAGGCTGCGGGCTGTGACCCTCGCACCCCAACACCCGGCCCTGCGCACGACTGCGAGCGTGCGCTTTAATAAGCCGGAGAGGGCCTTAAGGATGAGTTGTACTTCCAAGGCCTGACCTCCTGACCCCAAGACTAGGCTAAAATGGGCTTCTGCACCATATACCACGGAGAGAAACACCTAGGACCACAGTGGGTACGGCGCACGCCATTCAAAGGGGGACAACCTTCCCTCAACCTCCGGCGGCAGCAGATATCGGGGGCCTGAACACGGCGTCCCTCCGTGGTCGGTTGGCCCAGTATTCTGGCCTGTGAGAATCTGGGCAAAAACAGCAGCTCTTAAGAATCCACCATAAACTGAATCCCGGCTGAAATCAGCCATACCTGTTGAGGCCCGCTGGGAAGCCTGCAGAGGTTTCATAGCGGACCCTTTGACCCGCAGAGTTGATGGCTGAGCAGAAAAACACATGAGCTACCATTTCATCAACTGTTTTTAGAATTAAACACATTGAAGTCACTCTGGCTAAAGTAGCTTAGCCGGAACCTAGAAACAAAAGAGCTGGATGAGAAGGCAGTGTCACCTAAGGCGCTGTGCTAGTTTGCAAACCAGGTGCCTAAATTAACATGATAAAACTTTCTTCTAACCATAGATGGTAAGTAAAAGTAAAGCTCTGAAAGATAATCCACACAGTGTAACTTTATTTTTCTACTAACTTTTACCCTGATGTAACTCGATGCAAGTAGTTGCGCAGAGGTTTATTGCATTCACAAGGTTTCATTTATATTATTGCCTTTCCCCTTCAGTTGGAATGACTTATAGTAAAAGAACATAAATATAAAATCAAGTGGCTTGAGTGAAGCTTCGTGTTTTCCTAGTATATGGAAAGCTACACAAGTGCTTAATGTAAGTCATTTTTCCTTTAGAATATGCCCAAGCTTAGCAAAAAAATTAATAGATGCAAAATTATTAATTAGGATCAACTAAAATGTTGAAAAGTTTTAAAATTGAAAATCCCTGAAAAGAGTTATACAGTGTTATAAAGTGTTAGTGAGTAGAAATACTTTTGGTTTCTCCTCTGGATAACCATGGAACAGACCTCTGCCCTTAGCCCATCACAGGCTTTTTGGTGCTATACTGCTAGCCTGCATTTGGGGGAAAAATCCGTGAATCTGTTAAAATAGCAATCCATCAAACAGCAAGGAGAAAAGTTACATCCATTAATGTAAACCAAGGCTCAGCCGTTCCATCGACATCACAATTTATTTATTAACTATTTATCAACCTTTTCTTCGATAACTAATTCTATAGAAGCATTGTATTAGAAAGTGTGAATTAATGTAGTTTGATCCCATTGCCTTATGCATATCAAATAGCCAACAAAATTGTTTACCTTCCATGGGCTTGGGTTTTATGGACCTAGGATAGTTTCCTCTCAGCCCCTAGACCTCACAAATTCCCATGGCTGTTTGAATGGCATATTTACAGATAAGTTTTTATTTGCACATAAGGACAAAAAGGTGAAGTGAAATTTGGTCCCAATGGAAACCTGATAGCTTCCCTGAACATATGGCTCATTGGGCTGTTACTTCCTTTTTGAGATCATTTTCCAAGATTTTTTTTAATATATACATCAATTTGACACCAGTTATAAAGCAAATATATTGGTTTTGAAAATGCCTCCACCTGGGGCATATCTTTTAATAACAAAGCATGTAGTCAGGTGTACCTCGGAATTTACATGCGTTGGCCAGCAAGGCATACTTTAAAACCACT